AATTTCAAATCATAGGGAAGATACTACACATGCCAAAGCCTAAATATGCTACTATCAAACAAGTCAAGGGCGCCTAGGTATCTCATCTTTCTTCCTCCATTATTCCCTAAATTCCTAATCTACTCTAAAAAAAATACTACTACCCGGTTCAAACTACATCCCATGGAAAAGAACCCTTGCACAAAGAAAAACCACGGGGGATTATTACTACCTAAAGAAAGCTAAAAGACATATTTTTGTATTTTTGTTTAGACTTTAATCCCTCAAGAAAACTGTCTAGGAGATCCATCGTCGGGAAAAGTCCAAATCTTTCAAATTTATTTTTCATTTTTCTTTTTTAAAAAAAAAACCACTACAACTAAACTAAGATAGCACAGAAAATCACCCAGACAATCTGCTCACCCCACACTTAAAATTGTGCAATGTCCTCAATGCACACTGAACATAACAAGAGGGTAAAAGAGACTCCCTGGTAGGCCAAAGGCCGAAGAATTAGCAGCTCACGGGATACTCAGACTTCTCCCTGGTATGATCCCTTGTGTGGGTACCTCACACTTAGTTTCAACCACCTGCTCGCTTTTGCCCATGCCTCTTGGCTTTGATTCCTGCTCGTACTCCTACAAAATACAAAATAATACTACAAAAAAAATAACACAATAAAATAAACAAAAGGAAAAAAATAGAATTGGGTTGCCTCCCAACAGGTGCTTGATTTAACGTCGCAGTACGACGCCAACACTTTCATCACTTTTCCTTCCACTTTGAGGATATAAATTGCGCCCCCAATTTTGCATCAAATTTTCTGTCACGTTCATGGGGCGGTGGTGTAAAAATAAAGAACCCAAGTAGTAGGCATCGCATCTTGCACTTCTTGGCCTTTAAGTGAGGAATGTCGTTGTCTCCTTGGTGTGGCAAATTTCAGAATATAAACACTTTGTTCCTCATCTATTGACTCCTCCATATGATCGAATGGATCAATTTCCATGTCACCAACCAAACATAATGTTGAAAAGTGTTTAGAATGAGGTCCAATACGCTCCAACTCCAAAATTGCATTATTTTTGACATCCTCAATTTTGAGCTCTTCGTCAACCTTAGCATCATTAATAATATTTTGGTCGAATAGTTGGAATTCCTCTTTCCGCTCCACAAGCTGGCCAGTATCCACAAAAATTAGTTGTAGGGCATCAGATGCCTCAACCTTTTTATTCAATTGAGCATGCCAGTCATGGATATCTGAGCCAAAATGGTCTATCTCTTGCCTGAGCTCAGTTCTTGCTTCTATTAGTTGTTCTGTCATATTTGAAAGACCATCACGGAGAAACTCATGAGATTTTATAAGTTGAGCTTGTTCCTCTAGCCAAGATTGGCTTACTATATCTGCTTCTTCAAAATTATTTTCTGGTGGGAACTCGTTCTCTTCAGCCACTTCCTCCGCCTCGGCCTTCATTCTCATGATTGCTGCACTAATTCTTTGTGCAGCCTTTCGATTTTCATCTTGTAGCTCGACTACTTGCCTCATCATGTCCATAATATGAGCCATGCTTTCCATATCCTCCACTCCCTTGCTCCTATCAAACTCATAAACATTATTAGAAACATTATAATAAGAACTCTGAGAAGGATAATAAGAATTAGGACAACCATCCCAATGGCCAACTTGACCACCACACATATTACAAAAATTCCACACATCAAATTGAGATGCACAATTTTGCCACAAGTGTGGTCCCCCACAATATGGACAAGGATCACTATAATAAGAATAACCAATATTTGACCAATTCTCATTCCAAGATGCCATGTCAACAAAGATAATAAAATATTAAACTAAGTTAAAAATAAAAAAATAAAAACTTGAATAGGCAAAAAATAAAAATTCAATCTAGTAGAATAGTTAATTTCTAAGTCCCCGGCAACGGCGCCAAAAACTTGTTGCGGCCAAGCGCACAAGTAAGTATACGCGGTCGTCAAGTAATAAAGTGACTAAAAGTCGGATGTCGATCCCACGAGGACTTGTGATTAATAATTAACTAAATTAGACTATCCTAATTATCTAAACAAGAATTAAACCTAGAAGTATTTGGTTCTAAACTACTTAAATAAAGAATATAAATAATGAACTTTTAACAGAGAAAGAGTAGATTTTTATGATATCAATGTAATGAAAACGATCTAGGATTATGGGCTATCTAACATTCTTATTGTATTCTTCAATTGAATTGACTAATTAATTTATCCGGTTTATTGGTTGATAGGTTTAATATTGCTCATAAGAATCTGTCGAGTTCTTACTTGCCTATTCAAGCTAACCTAACGCCTATATGTCTATGGAGTTAGAATCAACAAGAACGCATTTATAATTTCTGTAAATCAACCAAGCAAGACAATTAGGTATATGTCTATCCTAACCGCGAATCCGTTCCCCGATGCCCAGGTTCAAGAACTTGCTCTATTCAATCCATTATGCAATCTAGAATTCCCACTTTCGAGTTCAATTCAAGATTCGTAGATAGTATTCAATTGGTGATCAAGCAATCAAATAATTAAGTGCAGGATTAAACAAATAAACCAATATGATAAACTAAGCAATCAAAATCAATATCCGAATAACAATAGTCCTGAAAGAACCACAACCCTAGAACGTGGAGTTTAGCTCCACATAGACATGGTAGCAAAACAACAAATCATACAAAGAAACATAAAAAGACTAAGTTGGTGGAAGAAAAGATGAAACCCGGCCTCCACGGCGGCTCTGTGCTCTTCCTTGGTCAAAAATTGCTGTCAAAAATGTTCTCCTATGTATATATACCAAGTAGGGTTGAACCCAAATAATTATACCTTCTCCAATGTGAAAAAGGACACTTTTCCCGGGCTTAACTAGCATGGTCGCGCACCTGGATGCGCATCTGGGCGCGCTAGTTGACAAGTGTTCTATTTCTGGGCGCGCTAAAACTAGCGCGACCGCGCTATTGCGCATTTTTCACCCTGTTCCGTTCCGAATTTGGAAAAACGTAAAACATGAAAGTTGTATCCCTTTGAGTTATCTTTCCAACCATATATTGTGGAGCTAAAATGGAGTTTTGAGAAAAAAGTTATATCTATTTTACTAGACAGTGCACAATCTGCCTACTGAAGTCTTTGTTTGCTCTAACTATCTCCCGTTGACCCCCAAACACGATCCCGGCTTAATTCCTTGAACTTTTGCTCAAACTTAAAAGCTCCAAATCACTTGAATTCATTCCATAACATCTATATAGCTCAGAATCACTCCTACAAGGCATAAAACATACAATTAGTGCAAAACACTAGCGATTAAAGCTCAAACTCAATTAAAGTGCAGTAAATTAGAGTGTAATAATCGACTAAAATACGTAATTATAGCCTATCATCAATTTTATTGAAGATACTGACTTTATCGATGTTGCAAAATACACCTGCCAATATGGGTATAACTAATGTCGTACTAGTGGTTGAAGAAGATCCGTATGTTCAGTTGTCAGGAAATAAGATCAAGAGAGTTTTTAAGAAGAAGATATCATAAGGTGTTTACATATGTAACAACTGCAGAAACGAAAAATTATTTGGTTAGTTAGTTTAGTAGTTTCTTTTGTTATAAAAAAGATGTTTGAATCATTTCCTCTTTTTTCTTATATTTAACTTTTCATGTTTTGTTAGTTTGGTAACTTCATTAGTTATGGACAACATGTTTGCATATATTCACGGTTCATTCAACTTTTGAACTTCACCTATTTAGATACATAAAGTAGTCCATATATTTTTATTGTGTGACGGGCAAGCTTTAATTGATGTAAGGGTAAAGTTATCTCATTCAATTAAAATAAATTGTCAATGAATTGAATGAGTATGATGAGTTAAGCCATGAAGAGGATGGTGGAGCTGAGCTACTATTTTATTGAATCTCTCAATAGTTGATCGATTATTTTGTTCACAAGAAAGTCTACAATTGATGCAATTTATTTTTGCACTAAGCCATTTATTAGACGCTGATGGAGTTGAGTTACAGGAACCAATTTTTTTTAAAGTAGTATTAGTTATTTTGGCAAAACTTTATAGTACCATATTTTCTAAAATCAACTTAGAGTTGAGATACTCTTTTGATTATATTTTCTAACTTCTTGCAAAGCGGAATTACTTTAAATCCACTTTTTCCTTCTTTAGTATGAAAATTTTGATGATTTATGTCATTTATATTTACTGAAGCTTTCACCAAATGTGGTGACATACGAGAAGTGTGGAGCCTAGAATATTAGGGCCAGAGGGTTGATCTTCTACTTCCAGCTGTTGAATTACTATGTTTCGATGAATTGAGGATCTAAAAAAGGGGTGACAGATTGGTTAGTAAGACTGCAAGAGGAAGCCAAAGGATTTGACTTACCAAGTTTCGGGAGCTAAACTGTTATAGCGCAGAAAAACTATAGAAGAGCAGTATAAGAATTGACAATCATGACTAATATAGAATGATCAATAGTCACCAATTTAATGTTATTGATGCACTTAAATTACTTTAAAATTCAAATTATATATTATTCTCTTTTCCTCTATATAAAATACTAATTTATACTGGACTGGGACCTTTACGTGAGTGCATAAATATTGGTGGTCCGCAACATAGATACAATCCTATAAAATTTATATATTTATTTTTTGGTTTAATTTTTTTGAATGTGATCGCTAAATTTCGTCTGCAATATAGACATGTTTCTACAATATTATTTTTTTTCTTTGAAACTGTCTGCGCATCGCGCGGGTACGTATACTAGTAACTAATTAAATGCGGTGACGTGAATGGGCATAACTGAAATTTAAAATCTGATTCACGTTTCCTCACCTAATATATATGACACACTCATGTAAAATATGCGTAAGTAGAACGTTCTAATATTACGAAAAGACTAAAGTAAAATTTGCAAGTAAAACTAAACATACAAATCAGCAAGGGCACACGGACAATTTTATATATATAACATATGTTAATGAATAGCTTGAAATGAGGTAGGCTTATAAATATGGTACCTGCCTATGGAGAAAATCATCATTTACACATCTCACTTCTTCCACCAAGTACAGAGTAAGAGATGGCCGGAAAATACTCTTTGATAAAGTTTGCATTCTTATTCACTGCCATTCTAATGACGGCAATTACTGGTGATACATTTAATTTGTCTTCCATTGAAATTTATTCGTTATTATTTTATACAAATATACAATTAAATCTATGCACATGAAATCCAAAATTGCACACTGCATATCTATATCGGTTACTCATATTATACTTTTAATAATATATGATCTTTGTTGTGATCATGACGTGCAGTTAATCTCTCCTCTTTTCAAAAGATGCAAGCAATGGCTATGTTAGATTTACCCCTCAATATGTTATCGGTGAAACAAAAATTACTATCATCAATCGATGGTATGAAGACATGTGGGAGAGTTTGTTCTAGCGATAAGGATTGTTCAGACGCTTGGGTTTGTTTTTATTGCAAATACCACAAAGAAACTGTTCTTGCTCCTGCCTGGAGTGGTTGTGACTGATGATAAAAAAAGATCTTCCTCACAAATTCTACAAAGTTCTCGAGTGAAATAAACTTTGGTTGATGCAGAAATTTGGTAATTATAAACTGTGTGTCTATGTGAAATAAACATTCCCATATCGTTTTCTTTCGCTTATGCTGTCGTATTGAGTTTCATAAGTACATAAATAAGTTAAGTTATGTGATAGTCTCCAGTTTGGAGGGCTACTAGTGTCTTGCAATTTGGCTTCTACTCAGAGTTAGAGTCATATGTATGAATATTATCAAGAATATTGTTATAAATAGAATTTTATTTATGGTGAATGTCTATATTTAGAGAGATTCTAGGGTTTATTACTTGGTGGCTAAGTCACCCTCTCCCTATAAATAGAGGGTTCTATTCCATTGTAATTGATTCCAAATCAATAAGAATTATCTCCCTCTACTTTTCTCTGCAATACTCTTCTTCTTCTTTTATTGTTTCATAACACGTTATCAGCACGAGACTCTATCCAATTGAGTAGAAGCTTTGAGATTGATCATAATGATTGTCAATTGTTCTATGAATTTCCTTCATGCTTAAATTTTGGATTTAAGGTAAGTATTTTACTTTGTTTTTCTCTTTTAAATTCTTGAAATTCTATAATTTGATTTTAAATACAAGCAAAGACAATAAATTTTGATTACAACTCTAATGGAGTTTGTAAGAAATATAACCACTCGAAGTGGTAAAATTTCTAAGTCTTACAATGATCAAATTCATGTATGATTATGGGCACAAAAAGTGGAAACCCGTCCCATTGAATTTGCTCCATTCTCATTCCCTTAAGAGAATGTGATAGCAGTATGTGATAAGTCTGAAAGAAGACAAAATTATTACCGTGAAGGTATCAATGAATGTGGACGTGGCAATAGACAAAATTGTAATCGTCATCCTTGTGATAATGAGAATAATAAGGATTCTCAAAATAATCCTTCACGCTGTGAAAGTAATATTTGTCATCGATTTGACATGAGATTTTATAAAGCACATATGGATGATTATGGTCCATTCATGATGTGAATGTGATAACATCTAATTTATGAATACATATTCATTCTTCAAAGAATATGAACGTGCTAGTGGTAGTGAATATACCACACTCACCTCTAAAAGGAGGTTTGAGATGATATAAGAAAACAATGTCATTATTATGGCATGAATGGTCATTGGTCACGTACCTATTGTACGCCAAAATATTTTGGCAATGTGATTATTAAAAGAGAGCGATAATTCAAGAAACAGAACATGCATATAATTTTGACCATGACCATAATGGTATAACTTTCTCTTTAAAAGAGATATTCACCATATTGATATTGATGAATATGTGGTAGTACCAAATTAATTGAGAGCTCTGGAAGAGCCAATTATTACTATTTTGGAGAAATAAAATTATCGTAGTAAGTCTCAAAGAAACTTATTCAGTTTCTAAAGTATTCGCGAAAGCGGTTGGTTATATTGAGACGATAAATAAAGAAAATATTTAATATTTTCTATTACTACAATTTGTAGCGGGGTAATATGTATGTGAAAAGCTATCCGCTTTATTCTCCAGTTTGTACTACACAAATAAAAGAATACAACAATAAAGTGGATATTTATTGATATAAAAAAACCCATATCATAATAAACTTGGAGTTTATTGATAATTGCACACGTCATGGTGTAAATCTGAACTTTATCAATATTGATAATTTATTTAGTCGGCATAATTGGTTTAGCCATGTTAATTTACGTATGATGTGCAAAAATAAAAGAGAATTCACGTGGGTAAATGTTAAAGAACTAGAAAGTTCTTTACAAATTCTCTTATGTTACTTGTTCTCATTAATTAATATACCAACTAAAATAGGGATTTAATCCCATGAATGCTGGAAATATCAAAGGTGAATATGGGCTCATTCACCTGCCATGTATACCACATAAGATGCATCTATGAGATGGTTACATGTGCGATTATTATTAATCCGCAACATGGTGTTTGCGAGGTAACTTGCTCAATAATTTTAGTTAGAGCATAATTTCCAGATTTTTTTTTAAGATAGTTCTTTTTGATAAGTTGGTTTACATCACAGTTGGTTTAGCAAAATGATTTATTGAGTGCCTCCACTTAATAGCTAAACAATTGCATATGAGAATAAAGTTATATATATCAGTTTGATATACGTTATATACGAAAGTATATTATTTTCTCCCCTCACAAGTGGTTCAGGGTCAGGAACCAAATAATTCCATCTTCTTATTATTGATGTGCGGTGTATATTTTGATTAACACCATAACGCACAAAGATGAGTTCTTAAAGTTGAGGAAACAAGTTAGTTTTTCTAACATGAGGGGGAGACATGATAAACAGTTGAGAAAAAGTTACGTGGAATGAATTATCATTTGTACATCTAGATCCTCGAATAAAATAATATAAACTTTAAGTTCATAGAGATAATTCATTTGCAATATATTGCAAAGCATGCCAGACGCATTTGCTGACCCAAAGAAAGTAACTATATTCTCACTGCAAATGCTCCTATTAGACTAAGTCCTAGAAGACAAAGTCTATCCTACGCTTAAAGCGTTGAGACAAATCGGTTTCAAATAAACTTCTTGATAAAGAAGATGAGCAAATGATCAAAATGATTATAATAAAGGAGGCAAGTGATCTAGAAGATCACATGACATAACACTTCATAAAATCTCATGAGAGATTCAGGTACCTGAATATATGAATGAAGAGATCTCTATGTTATGTCTTTATGGGAAATAAGGATGTTGGAACCAATATAAAATGTTTGTCGACGACATTGATTATAGCGCTAAATATATATGAGGATCTTAAGTCTAGAGAAACAATTCAAGTGGAATTTGATTTCATATGAAAGAGAAGTAGTTTTGGACCTGTAGTTCAAACACTTAAAAGTATAAAGACAATGGTGTGTGCTATCACCTTTATGTATCTTATATGTCTGGCATGACATGAAAACTTGATACAAATATAAAGTCTATTATATGGCTTATATGACTTAACTTATATGACAATCCATGAAGGATTTAAGTTACTTGAAGCATATACAATTCTTGATCTTGAGGTACCACATCCTCAGTATAATTTGTGCATATATATATCTTGCTATAATTATAAGCATGATAATACGATAGCGAGAATCTCTATGGAGATATTGAAGACCATTCCACGATATTATATGAAGACATTATATATCTATCAAGAATGATGATTTCAAGGTGCAATATATCCATTCAAGTCAATATGGCTGATTTGTTCATCAAATCTCTACCAAAGATCTTTTGAAGATGGTGCACAAGATTGGAATGCAAATGCTCAAGGATGTGAATTAATACTCTCATCATGGGGAGTTAATGCGCGTTGCACTCTTTTTCCCTTACAAGGTTTTGTCCCACTGGGTTTTCCTTGCAAGGTTTTTAACGAGGCAACCAAAAGGCGTATTACTAAACAAGTATACTCTTTTTCCTTTACTAGAGATTTTTTTCCCACTGGGTTTTATTTTAGTTAAGGTTTTAACGAGGCATATTATCTGGTAGATAGACATTCAAGGGGGAGTGTTATAAATAGAATTTTATTTATGGTGAATGTCTATATTTAGAGAGATTCTAGGGTTTATTACTTGGTGGCTAAGTCACCTTCCCCTATAAATAGAGGGTTCTATTCCATTGTAATTGACCCCAAATCAATAAGAATTATCTCCCTCTACTTTTCTCTGCAATACTCTTCTTCTTCTTTTATTGTTTCATAACAGTGCTACTTTGTGAGATACATTTTACTTTTTCCTTTATTTCTCTTAGTTGGAATAATTATTGCAATAAAGCTTTAAAATATTCCTTTCACCCAATTAAGTATCACGCCTAATAAGGTACATTTAACAATAACAAATACAATTTTCAAACTCAAGGAGGTAATATGTTATTACTTTCTTACTATACAAAAAGAAAATATACTCATTTATTATTTTGTGGATGTTCTACATTAAGATGCCATTAACGTTGGCTTAATTATCTGAATTGGACTCAAAACAATCAACATCACGTGTGCTAAAAAAAATAGGAGGCAATATGGCTTTTCATTATTGGAAGATCAATACATGAGACCTAGCGAATTTAATTTTATTCGAAACTTATGATTCTGATTTACTGTTGATTTTCAAAGAGAAAAAAAGTTTTATCTCAATGATCAAAACACGACAATCCAAATAAATTGAAAATATGAAGAAAATAATGTATATTCATCATCATACTACTACTTTTAGTGGAAATTTTCTTATTAAAATCTCCTTCAAAAACTGAATAATTAAATTGCCCTCTACCTAAAAGTAATATTACTTTAATTTTATATCAAAAACTGCTATGTGAATGTGATGACCCAAAAGGTCATCTTTTGTTTTAGAATTTGTTTTCGTGTTCTAAGGCTTTGAAAACCTCTTTTTATCTCTCCTCGATTTGCGTGTGCAGTCCGGGCGCGATACCAGAAAGCTTTTGTATGAAAAATTTAAGTAATAATGATTTTTGAGTTAAAAAGATAATTTTAGTTGACTTCGGTCAACATTTTTGGTAAACGGACGCGGACCCGTGATTTGATGGTCCCGTAGGGTCCGTAGTAAAATATGGGACGTGGGCGTATGCCCGGAATGAAATTCTGAGGTCCCTAACCCGAGAAATAAATTTTTGAAGAAAATTGTTAATTGAAAAATATGATGCTTTATGGAAATGTAATAATGTTTGATATTGTTGGTATCGGGCCCGTATTTTGGTTTCGGAGCCCGGTTAAGGTCCGTTATAATATTTATGCCTTATCTGTGAAATTTGGTGAAAATTGGAAGTGATTTGACGTAATTCAGACCATCGGTTGAGAAATTAGAAAGTTTGAACTATCTTGAAAATTTTATGAGTTTTGGTGTTGAATTCATAGTTCTATATGTTATTTTGGTGATTTGATCGTGCGAGCAAGTCCGTATGATATTTTTAGACTTGTGTGCATGTTTGGTTTGGAGCCCCGAGGGCTCGGGTGAGTTTTAGATAGGCTTCGGAGTGCTTTAGACTTGGAAAAAATGTTGCAGGTTCCAGTTCTGTTGCAGAGCCTCTGA